AAAGGAAACAGAAGTAGTCGCTCAGACCAGGAGAAGGTGAAACTGAATAAAATCACCTCGCGACAAAATTCTTTGAAAGAGGCGTCTCTCGCAACTGAGATGGAGGTCTCATTCAATGAGTACTCAAATACTGGTATTTCGCAAGATTCAGGAGATGGAACCAGAACAGATGATCAGATTAAAGTAAATAAAGGGGGTGAATCTTTCTTTTCAAACATCAAAAAGAGCTTTAAAGATTTTTCAAGATCTAATCAAGCGGATGAGCATGGCAAAATCAATGTTTCAGTAAATGGGCATCCGATAACAGACCGTGTGGTAAGGAAGGCTCAAAAGCTGGCTGGAACAATCCATCCTGGAGATTATTGGTAAGTTGCAACAACTGGGAGAAATGCATTGCAAGGAATACGCGCTTTACATCATGCTTATTATTTGTTAATCATCATGCTTATTATTTGTTAATTGTGTTGTATAATCAATGATAGATCCAAACTTTCTGATGTAGAAAAAATTATTGATAGATTTTTCATGTTATTAATATTTCTTCGAAACAGAAAAGATCAAATATGCTTTTGCTAAAAAGCATGTTTTCTTCTAAAAATAATGTCTTCGGAGGTTTTTAAAGTATCGGATACAGTAATAATGTTAAGATATTAATCCATTTTTTAGAGAGGCATTATTATTGGTTTCATACCATGAAATTTAAACGTTCTTTGTCAGAAGTCAGAAAGTTAGGCTTTATTTCATTTTTCCTTTAGTGGTTTAAAGCTTTAGTTACATTATTATGAGATTTATTTCTCACGCCTCTTATTGTATTAATCTTTTTCCTTTTATTGCACAAACCAGGTATGATTACCGAGCTGGATTCTGGGGCATCATGGGCGGGCCCTGTCTTGGCATAATCCCTGTAAGACCAATCAGTTATTATACTATTTGCATAGAAAAAGTTATTGTTTACTTGCGTTTGTATAAAGGTTTTTATGAGATTGTCATTTCTGTTGCAGCCATACGTTGAAGAATTTAATTATCCAATGCCAGAGAACTGTGCTGGTGGAAACACAGGTGTTTTTGTGAATGGAAGAGAACTGAACCAAAAAGACTTGGATTTGCTAACTAATAGAGGGCTGCCTACTTCGAGAGATAGATCATACATAATTGAAATTTCCGGGAGAGTCCTGGATGGGGACACAGGAGAAGAGCTGGATTGCCTCGGAAAGCTAGCTCCCACGTAAGCACCCAGTTCTTGATAGTTACTTGTTATTAATTTGTTGGTACTTGAAATTTTAGTCTTTTTTTTT